GTACTTGCCACTTATTCGGTCATTCGTTAATCTCGTGGTTTAGTAAGAAACAGGTTAGTGTTGCACTTTCCACCACCGAAGCGGAATATGTCGCTGCGGGAAGCTGTTGTGCCCAAATTCTTTGGCTAAAACAACAACTAGTGGATTTCGGCCTTATACTTGATCACATCCCAATTAGGTGTGACAATATGAGCGCCATTAGTCTATCGAAGAACCCCGTTCTTCACTCCAGGACTAAACACATAGAAATTAGGCATCACTTCATACGAGATCACGTCCAAAAGGGAGATGTCACAATTGAGTTTGTTGAAACGAAACATCAATTGGCCGACATTTTCACGAAACCCCTTAGTAGGGAGAGTTTCTTCCACATTCGGAACGAACTTGGCATTTTCGATATCTCTATGAACTAATTCATTTTTGACTATACTAATTTGAGCGTCGGAGGCGCGATAAATTCTTTTTGCAGAGTTTTTTTTTGTAGATATCTCTTCCCTTGGTATTCAACCTAATTGGACTTGATTTTTTTTAAAATCGATTATTCCTCAAAGAGAAATCGATTAGTCGCCTCTGTCTTTATTAATCGATTACTCGTTTCTTTTTAATCGATTAATATGCAAAAACGTCTTTAGCGCTGATTCACCTTTTAATCGATTAATTTTGTTCAATTAATCGATTAGACTCATCTGTCCATATTAATCGATTAGCCTCGGCTGTGTTCCCTAATCGATTAAATACTTGTTATTAATCAATTAATAGTCGATTTTTTCCTTATATCACACCCAGTCTTCGTCTTCTTCGCCATTCCCTCTTTTCGAATCACAGAAACCCTAGCCTCTTCCCCTCTCAATTTTTTCTCAATCTTCATCATAATATTCTCAAATTTCTTCCATTTTTTTTCAAATTTCATCAATTTCAAAAAGGAAGAATGCCAAGGTGTAAGAACGCTTCCTCGGGTCAAGAAACGGCGGCAGAGGAGAATGAGAGGCCATGGCGTCGTGAAGGGAGCAAGTACATTCACATTCAAACGGGTCTCGCCTTCAACACTAGGGCTTCAGTTGAGAGGTTCCACAACATCTTCCTCACGAAGGAGATCGTCTCTCCCAAGATCGTGAACAAGGACCTCTTCAAATCGGCGACCTATGCCCCGAGTAAGTCTATATTCCTTCAGCAAGGATTGCTTCGTTTCATTCATTTTACGTATGAATTTTTCTGTCCAAATCTTATACGTCAATTTTATGCAAATCTTCGTACCACTAAGGGAGGTTCGCCATCTCTCATTTCCTATGTTGACGGCAAAACCGTTTTCATTGACGATGCCGGTTTGACTTCTTTGTTTGGCCTTCGTCGCGGTGAAATTACCGAAAACTTGGATGAAACATTCCAAGATGAGGCAATATGGCGACAACTCGGGTTAGATCATCGTGATCTCAAGTTTAGAAACTCTAGCAACCCGAGTGTCGTTAATCTCACTTTAATTCAACGCGTCCAACAATACATTTTCTCATATGTTTTGTTGCCCCGTGATTCGAACCATGGCGTCGTCAACAAGGATGATATTCGTTTGTTTCACGTCCTGTTGAACGATGTCAAATTTGATTGGGTTCACTTCTTTATCGTTGCACTTAGCGATGGCACTCGCTTTTCCCATCTCCGTTTTGCCATCCCCATTGTGCATATCCTTGCTCATTGCAAAGTAGACCTTACTCGGGACACTCAGGTGCCGGTTAAGAAGACGTGTTTCATCACTGAAGCCAAGTTTTCCCGGATCATGTATCGAGAGGAGGGCAATGTTGCACCGAATCTGGACTTGATCGTCGCCGAAGAAGAAGAAGAAAGCCAAAACGAGAATCAAGCTGAGTCATCTCAAGCCGGAGGTAGTCGAGCCACGGAGCGCGTCACTCGTCAACGGAGGACTCGTCCGAGAGAAGAAGCACCGGAACCATCTTGGGTGAAGAAGATCTTCGATACTCTCACGTGCATCCGAGATGACGTTCGCTAGCTCAACGAGAGGATGACTCGTCTTGAGCAATCTCGCTCCTACCGTGGCCCGCGTCACAGCTTCAGCGGAGGAGCTCGTCCAGTGAACTCTCTTTGATTATTTTCTCTTATATCTTAACTTTTTATGATACATTGTTATTTGCTATTGTTGTTATAACTCTTTTGGTGAATGATGTTGTTGCTAATATGGTTCTCTTTTAGAACATTTTGTCCCTTTGTGGCAATTCATGTTAGAAGTTTTTTTGAAAACTCTTACAATTTTTTTTTCTCCTTCAAATCCCGGCATAAATTAAGAGGGAAGGTTGTCGGTTGATAATGCCAAAAGGGGGAAGGAAGGATCGTTGAGAAAACTTATTTTTCAAAATTTTTTTTCCGCTTATTACTCCGATTATTTTTGCTGCACTTCTCTAACCTTGCAGGGGGAATCATTTAAGGGAAGTATTCTTTTCTTTGCTTTTTCTCAACTATGTTTGTCATTATCAAAAAGGGGGAAATTGTTGGACATGAGTTCAAACCCCTTTATTATTTTTTCTGGAATATTTTCTTGTTTTGATAAATGACAAACAGGATGATGAAATTCAAACGTTGATCGAAAATTTACTTTTCGTACCGAGAAAAGAAAAGAGGCGTATCAAGAAAGTTACGGGATAAAAATCAACGCTCCCCCCACGCAGTTTTTTGAAGTGATGTGAAGACTCCGAAGACTTTTTAATTTTTATTGAGTCTAGGATTCTTGTTAGGATGACAATATCTTTTGCACAAAACAATTTAATTTCTGAGGGATAAAAATTATTTTTGAGTCAGTTGAAAAATCATTTTTTCTCTGTCTAAAATATTTTAGTGAGTCAGTTTCAAAATAAGTGTGTCAAAATTTCTTTAAAACATTTTTTTTAAAGTTACACAATTTTCTTTGGTGAGAAAAATATACTTTAAATATTTTTTCGTGTATTGTTTGACACACAAAATAATTTTTTGGACTCTCTTTTTCTCTCCCCTACTCAAATTCATTGAATAGGG